AATGATCTTAAATACAGTGGTACCTCGGGTTACAGATGCTTCAGGTTACAGACTCTGCTAACCCAGAAATAGTACCTCGGGTTAAGAACTTTGCTTCAGGATGAGAACAGAAATCGTGCTCCAGTGGAGCAGCGGCCACAGGAGGCTCCATTAGCTAAAATGGTGCTTCAGATTAAGAACAGTTTCAGGTTAAGAACGGACCTCCGGAACGAATTAAGTACTTAACCCGACGTACCACTGTACTGTATTTGGAATGCTGTTGGCTTCCCTGTAACTCCCTCCAGACTTCAGGAAGGAGACTTCCATCTTGGCCAAAAAAATATAAATATATTTAAGCCTACATGTAAACTTGTACTTAAGATGTTAAGAAGAGCACTGCTGAATTGTACCAAAGGTCTATCTAGTGCAGCATTCTGTTCCCACGGTGGCCAACCAGGTATCTATGGGAATCCCACAAGCAGGACATAAGCACAATAGCACTTTCCCACTCAGAGTCCCCAAGTATTCAGATACATACTGCTTCTGACACTGGAATATACAGTCATCACAGCTAGTAGCCATTGCTGCCCTTTTCTGCACCTGTACATGCCACCCTATGTGCTTGGACAGCAGCAAATACTGAACATGTTGAAATATTGTATTGATAAAATGCACACCATTCTTCCTTACTATGGCATATCAAAGCTTGTAATTAAACCAGGGTGGTATCATGAATTAAAGAGGTCAATGAGTCAGATGAAGACACAACTGCCTTATACCAAGTCAGACCACTGGCCTATGTAGCCCCAGTATTGTCCATCTTAACTGGCAGTTAAGGGCTCAAGCAGAGGTCGTTCTCAATCCTAAATTTAAAAGCCTTCTAACTGGAGACGTTAGGACTTAACCTGGGGTGTTCTGCAGGTAAACCATGTGCTCTACCACAGAATAATAACCCTTCAAGAATGAGAAAAATCCCTTGTAGAAGCCAATCAATTACTTCCAACAGGGCAGAAATAAAGTTTAAATTAAATGTACAATGATTCTTGTGACAACTTTGCTTTATCATATTAACACTACAGTATTTCAAGGATGGAATATTCTCAACCTGCAAATTTAAAAGTCACATTGGCAACTAATAACTGAGAGGGGCTATGTTTTGAGTCATGCAAGGATTAAAGAGCCAGCAATATTGGCTCCGATCATAGCTCACTATAACTGAAGCCAAGAAAAAGGCAAAAGGTTTGTTAATGCAAACATGCAGTATGTGGACAACACCACATTTTGGCATCCTTCTGCTATCTCAATCCCTGACTCCCACTAATATGCCATGAAATAGGCAAATGACAATAAGCAGCTGAATATTGTCAAAAACTCTGCTCAAAATCCAGTTGCTTTTCATATTTGAGTGTGTTACAAACTGTGTCATACAAACTGGAGACAAGAGGGTTAACAGAGTTATTTGCCCATGTATAGAATAATCCCCATAGGTGAGCTAGTAGCTGGCCTGATAGCAGGCCTACACTACTGCCTCTTATCAGAAGCTTCTGCTGCCTAGACTAAGCACCTGGATAACAACTGCCCACTCCTAACATTTTTTGAGCTGTTAGATGCAGTATCTTATTATTATTATTATTATTATTATTATTATTATTATTATTATTATTATTATCATCTTTTCAAAACTAATTACTTTTAGTACTTCAAAGCTGCAACCACATTCTGAAGAAACCACCATTAATGAACACTACAAATAGTCTGAAGCAAAGCTTATGAACTAGGGCTCTAGCTAAGTTGTTCAGCAACTGAATATATCAAGTACTGTAGCACATTATATCATCAACCTCTTATGTACATGAGAGATTTTAGCAAAATTGGTTTTTCTAAGCAAGCAGCTGGGCAGTTCCTCCTAATTAATTATATTAAAACATTTCAATCATGTTAGTCAACAATTCAAGATATGTACTTGAGTCATAGTTTTATGTCTATGTATTTTACTGCAAATTAGTTCAGATTACCTAGAGAAGTACTGCTTTTCTCTTTCACAGAATGAGGCACCTACATTATTCCTATACCTGCAAATGAATGAATAACCCATACACCTTATGCACTAATTCTATGGCAAATAGGTTTCACGGTGACATCACTCTTCAAAATGCCCCTTCTCTTGGCAGGAAAGCATTCACTTTCCCTATAGCACCTTCTTTTTCCCATACCATCCTAAAAGAGAAATACTTGATGACTTCTCCAAATCCCAACTTTATGCCTCAATCTTGCCATCAATCAAAAGGGATAAATTCCACATATTATTTATATAAGTGCACGAGACTCTTAATCTCAGGGTTGTGGATTTGAATGCCACATTGGGCAACAGATTCCTGCATTGCGAGGGGTTGGACTAGATGATCCTCATGGTCCCTTCCAACTCTACAATACTATGATTCGATGAAAAAAGAAAACCCAGAAAAAGTAATAGGGCTGGCCATTTGCCTTTTCTACCTGAAGAAACATTCAAGTGGGAGTTTATGGGAAAGACGCATCAGTTGAAGAGCTTATATACATTCTGAAAAGATTTAATAACTTAAGATATTCTATTATTTTTCCATATAAACAATTGCTTCATTCCAGCAGTACATTACATATTTGCAAATGAAACGAAAATGGTCAATAAGACCATCACCCTACAACTGAATTTGATTACCTTCTGCAGTAACTATGGATAGTAACTCAGACTTGTTCACACTGTGCAGTTCTACTGTTTATACATTACAGCACCTGCGTCAGAAGTAATTCTGGATGGGGGCATACAAAATCTTTATGTAGTATATTTTGGGTGTAACTTGTATTGTGATGCTCTGCATACATTCTTTGAATTTCATTTTTAGGAGGCATATGCTTCAAGAGAAGTCTCATATTATGCAACTTTTTAAGAAGTCAGTGATGAGCTAAAGGATACATTGGTTATTTCACAATTATGACTGATGAGAAATGCAGAAGTTGTGTGTATTTATTCTTCTAACAAATTAGTCCAGTATGAATTGATTAGGCTCTCCCTAGGCATATGGCTCAAAGATGCCAACTTAAACAACGTGATCCGATGCCTTTTAGTGTGCAATACTTTCTCTTAAAGAAGCCAAGAATAATAATGAAAATACGGAGTTATAAATGCCTTGTTCCAGTCGTTGTGGCCCCTGTACCATACAGTGACAATTCGCTCTTAGAAGAAACTTTCTTTTTTTGGCAAGTCAAGAAAGTTGGTATACAAATAAAAATAGTTACATATGTCTAACTGTCAAACATATCTAAACGGATGCATGTGTTACTTCTGTTTGGGGGATTAGAAACTAAGAACTTCAGAATGATTTAAACCTGGTATTATGTGTTTGACTATCAAACCATATACAGTGGTACCTCGGGTTAAGTACTTAATTCGTTCCGGAGGTCTGTTCTTAACCTGAAACTGTTCTTAACCTGAAGCACCACTTTAGCTAATGGGGCCTCCTGCTGCCGCCGCCCCGCCAGAGCATGATTTCTGTTCTCACCCTGAAGCACGATTTCTGGGTTAGCGGAGTCTGTAAACTGAAGCGTATGTAACCTGAAGCGTATGTAACCTGAGGTACCACTGTATGAAGTTACCTGAACAAAAGATTTCCTGAAACTACATGTTTTATGGGGACTGTGTGAATTTGTTGAACCACAAGGAACAAGTACACCAGACATATTTAATGATTTGTTCCGTAACTTCTTTCGTAGTTATAATTTCAAGGAATAAAAAGTCAGTCAATAATCATTTGTTCTTATTATTACTATCACCATGCTAACATGCCTATGGCCACAAAGGCAGTAGCTAATATGATCTGGATTTTTTTTTAAAAGGTAAACACAGACAGTATTACAGCATGCACATCACCACCACTTCAATCTAAACCAATTTATAAGAAGTCAAAAGCAGAACTCTTAAGCCCTTAAGTAGTGAAAGGTATAGGAAGCCAATTACATGCCAATTTCTAGCCGCAGCTCCTGACTGCATTACTTCCTAGGCTTACATTACATACAATATATGTCCTACACTAGCATAGATTTTCCTCCTGAGAAACATGTTTACCTTTAGTACACAGGGTATAGAAATCTGTCAGGAATTACTACCCAAATAAAAAAGTATGCGTGGAGTGCTGGGGGGGGGGGGAGAGAGATACATGAAGGAACCATAACCTCACTTTGAACGATGAAAGGAAATGCAGACCATGGAAGAGAAAGCGGTGAAAGGCCTTCAACCTTACTTAATCGGAGCATCCCACAAAACTTAAGGCATGAGGAACTGACTTCTGTATAACGGGAAAGCCGTACGGGAACGTAAGAGGAAATTTTTAAAAATCTAGGGAAATTCGAAATGCCCATCACAATAGGGCAAGAGGGGACACTTAACTGCCACCCACTACCAAACACACGTGCTGCTGCTGGAGAGCCTGGATACTCCCCTCCCCACCAACCACCACCTCTTTCAATACTGTGGATGGAAGGAAGAGGAGAAACCTCCTCCTCGGCACCTTATCAGACCCAAAGCCTATGAGCGATAGGTCCCTCCTGAACACGCACACGCGAGAAGCGGCGGAGGGGTGGGGATGGGGATGCGAAGGAGGCGCTGCCCGAGAGCCCTCCGCCTCTCTTGACTCCCCAGCCCCCGCCCTGAGCAGCCACAGCGTGGCCTCCGCCTCGCTCGGAGCCCCCTCTCCATCCAGCTGGTCCCCGGCGCGAGCGGCCAGGCGCCGGCAACCCCTCGGACCACCCTTGCGCTCCTGAGGGAGAGGAAACCGGTCCTCGCCGCCCGCAGGGGCAGGAGCCGCCCTGGCTGGCCCCAGCCCGCCTTCCCGCCCCTCCGGCCACAGGGAGCCCCGGCGCCGGCCCAGGGTCTGGAGCAGGCGCATGAGGGATGGCCGAGGCCTGCAGGCTCCCCGCGAAGCCTCCGCTCTCTCGTAGCTAGGCAGCCCCAGCTAGCGCTCCCCGAGCCCCGGCTGCTCACTCACCCGCCGCCTCGTCGTCCCTGCTCCACGGCGACCGGCTGTCTGGCGGCGGGGGCGGCGATACCCTCTCGCGCTCCCTTCCTCCCGCTCGCTCGCTCGCTCGGCTTCTGTAGCAGCGGGGAAGGGGTCCGGGCGGCTCCTCCGACGACCTTTATGTGAGAGACGGGTAATCTCCAGGCTCTGCGCGCTCCGCTGCCAGACCGGCCACCATCTTACATTAGGGAGAGACTGCTTGCCTGCCCCGGACGCTGCTCCCAAGGCGCATGCGCAAGAGCCGCCGGAGAGGCGGGTGCGGGGGAAAGGAAAAAGGTAGAAGGCGACGCGACGAGAGAGAGAGCATGACGGGAGTTGTAGTCTTTACGGCGGGGGTGGGAACTAGGGCAGCCGGCGAGCGTGTCCTTCCCTGGGTTCAAAAGGGGATGGGTTAGGCTGCTGACGAGGCGGTCACACTGTCGCCCAGGAAACAGTGATAGCTGTGGCATTTAAACCCGTTTATTCGACATCAGTCTGAGGGACTGAGCTGGCTTAACGTCAGCTAGTAGTGGTTCGTTTGAAATGCCGGTTCGCTTATCCACCCCAGCCCGCTTCCTCCGGCACACATTCCTAGAGAGCGGGAGCCTGCGTTTAAGAATCCCTCCCCTTTTCAAAAGGATGCTACAGATTCCGATCGTTTTAAGCATGGCCAGATAGAGGGTCACGGAGGGATGGGGTAGGCAGTGCCATGAAGATTCATGATTCGTCGACTCGGGTCGGCAAAAGCTTATATCACAACAAAACCTGGCCCGGTGGCAAACAATATTATTCGTTGTTCTGCTGTAACACTAACTCAGTTAACCCTCTGGGGATTTCCTAGCGGTAGTAATTCTTGTATGACACACAGATTCACTATTGAGACTTGTTCTCATATGCACTAATTACTTAAAAATACGCACAGTACATTCAAGAGATGGGCTGTCACCCAGGCAGGGCCGTAGCTAGCGGGTGGTGAGGTGGGCCCCCGCAAGGGGCGCAGGCGATTGAGGGGCGCAAAATCGGCTTAAAAATATGTCCATAAATATAAATATCCATTATTGCCTCATAAGAAATGGTTTTAAACAGAGTGTGAATTGAGTAGGGGGTTGGGGTTGGAGGAGAGGCGGAAAGAAGAGCTAATTTGTCCGTGGCTAGGGGTGCAATCTGGATGGTTCTGCCAGGGGCGCAATATTACCTATCTGCAGCTCTGCACCCAGGAGACGTTTTAACTGATACTGCTGTGCATTGCTCCCATTACAATATATTTACAGTACTGCTGATGAGGGCTGGGGCTACATAGCTGGTTATGTCTGCACTGTAACTTGCAATTGTTTTACTTCAGGGTGCTTGCTGTGATGTATGGATATTTTATTTTATTTTCGGTTTGTATTTATTGTTGCTAAACAACAGTTTTAACTGTGACCAGAGGTAGATGCTCCTGGTGGTTTTTATAAGCACAAGAATATTTGGCTGTCTGCTGTAGCCTAAGGAATTTTAACACAGTATAAAGGTAAAGGGACCCCTGACCGTTAGGTCCAGTTGTGGACGACTCTGGGGTTGCGGCGCTCATCTCGCTTTACTGGCTGAGGTAGCCGGCGTACAGCTCATGTGGCCAGTGGCGTAGCATGGGGGGTGCAGGGGGGGCCGGCCGCACCGGGTGCAACATCTGGGGGTTAGGGTTAGGGGGCGCAAATCCACGGGTTAGGGGGCGCAAATTACTTGCCTTGCCCCGGGTGCTGACAACCCACGCTACGCCACTGTATGTGGCCAGCATGACTAAGCCACTTCTGGCAAACCAGAGCAGTGCACGGAAATGCCGTTTACCTTCCCGCCAGAGTGGTACCTATTTATCTACTTGCACTTTGACGTGCTTTTGAACTGCTAGGTTGGCAGGAGCTGGGACCGAGTAACGGGAGTTCACCCCGTCATAGGGATTCAAACTGCCAACCTTCTGATCGGCAAGCCCTAGGCTCTGTGGTTTAGACCACAGTGCCACCCGCGTCCCTTAACACAGTATAGTGACATTAGGATGCATGCCTTTAGCATATAATAAATTTTCCCTGTAATGGATCAGGTACATAGCATAAGAGTATATTTTTGTCTGGATATATTTTTGTAATTTTTTTGTCCAAGGAGCCTCTTGTAGTTGAGTGCCTTTTACCAGATTCATTTGGTAATGAGATAATCTGGCCACTGTAGTGTATGCAAAGCAGTCTATGCGGATCGGCCTTTGGGCCTGATGGAGAACCTCCAAGATGGAACAGTTAAGACTGCTTATAGGGACAGATAGCCAGCACCATATAAATCTCTGCTAAAATATATTCACTGGCTTCCCATATGCTACCAAGCTGGGTTCAAGACTGTTGTGCTAATATACAAAACCCTGAACAACTTGGGTCCAGTCGATGTTAAGAACCACCTGAGTCCTTCGAACCCATCTCAATAATCCAAAGAAGCACTGTTGGTGGTCCCCTGTGTTATAAAGATCCAAATGATCAATTCTAAAAGTTTGGCATTTAGGGTCATTGGTCCTATGTTGTGGAATACGCTTCCAACAGAGATTTGGCAGGCATCCTCGCATTTGACTTTCAGGCATCTCTTGAAGAACTTTTTATGCTGACACACTTATACAGCTGTTTAAACATTCTTGATTAGTCAGTCCTTTCAATGATTCTTTTGTATTGTTTTTATAGTGCACCGTGTTTTCTTCTATTATATTGTACACTGTCTTGATGTTTTCCAAAAGTTAGCAGTACAGTTGACTCTCAACGTATGTGGGGGTTATGCTCCAGGAACAGTGCAAAAAGTCAAAATCGCACATAGTGAAAAACACTCTCCCTGCACCTGTGTATGCTTTTCCAAGGCCACACACACTCTTTCAAGGCCACTGAACACTCTCCCTGTACCTCCCAATTCTCTCCCAACGTGAGTGCAATGGTAGGTGGGATTGCCAACGGTTTTTTTCCTGGATGCCCACCTCCTTTGTGATTTTTATTTATTTTTTCAGTGAAGTGCTTAGAACTGAATTTGCACAAGACAGAGATCTGTATCGTCCTTATCTCTCTATTTGCCAGGGTCCCCCCCCCCCCGGGAGTTAGAATCATAGAATCATAGAGTTGGAATAGACCACAAGGGCCATCGAGTCCAACCCCCTGCCAAGCAGGAAACACCATCAGAGCACTCCTGACATATGGTTGTCAAGCCTCTGCTTAAAGACCTCCAAAGAAGGAGACTCCACCACACTCCTTGGCAGCAAATTCCACTGTCGAACAGCTCTTACTGTCAGGAAGTTCTTCCTAATGTTTAGGTGGAATCTTCTTTCTTGTAGTTTGGATCCATTGCTCCGTGTCCGCTTCTCTGGAGCAGCAGAAAACAACCTTTCTCCCTCCTCTATGTGACATCCTTTTATATATTTGAACATGGCTATCATATCACCCCTTAACCTCCTCTTCTCCAGGCTAAACATGCCCAGCTCCCAGTTGTGTTGTGCAGCTGTCAGTATGCCCACTTGGGCATCAAAGAGGGGAGGACCAAGGCAAGAGTTGCTGTCCAGAAGAATGGTAAGCAAAAGTACAAATGCATATGGAAAGTACAAAGTGCAAATAAAAGGCTGAAAGCTTATATGCAGGCATAGCGCATATAGGGCAACTACAGCGCATATTCAGGGCAACATTCAAGGAGGTTGTCTTGTCACAAACATGACATCAAGTCAACGTTGTTCCATTGAATTCAACCAGAGTGGGGCAGAAAAGTTACCGGTAAGTGTGAATAGGTTTTCTGCTTTCCAATTTTTGCAAAGAAGCGAGCACAGAAATAGAATCAGACCCTTTAGCAAGTCCCACATAATTGAATGAGACCTATTTCCTAGTAAGGGCATACATGCAGCAGTCTGTCTTACTGAAATAAATGGGATTGTTTCGAAGTAAACATGACTAGAACTGGGCGATCAAATTTACATCATAAGTCTTATACCTGTGTACTCTAAGGAAGCCTTACATGTTTTAATATGGCTTGATGCTAGATAAATGTACTTAAGTCTGCAACCTTAATGTGTGAAAATAGACAAGAGTGCACCTATCCTTTTGGGTGATTTTATGAGCAGACCTTCTGTTCTGCATTATTTCCTATTATATTTGATCATTCTGGTGGTAAAAACGTAAGTTGTTTCTATGGAAAAATAATATTGTGAAGGTATTTAATGCATTTTAAAAGTATCTTAATGTGATTGTAGCAGCTGGAGGTTAACAGTAGTCAATCTCATGTGACCAGTTATTTCTCTGCAGAACGATAACCCAATCTGTGCAGAATGATTGTAAACAAATGGTATTTTTTCACCTGTGTGTTACTATATTACACTGTATTGCTTTATTTGCATCAGAAATCTACTAAGGAGGGATTGAATTTTTAGAGCTATGGGTCTGATGGATGAATGATTTGAACAGGGCAACTTGGATTAACCATGTACACTGGCCAAAAGTCTGACTATAAATTTATAGCCTTAAAAGTTGTACCATCCAGTAGTGGTTTACATACTGGTATAAAAGTGTACAGTATCTGTTACTACAAGGTCAATTCTCTTTTATTTCTCTACAATACATTAAAACTGATGTATTTGTTTTTCCTCCCTCAAAGGAATGTGTAAATTATCCCCTTGCCATTCTTTGACAAGTCTTTCTTACAGCAATGATGGGAATCATTTGTACAAAATAACAATAATTTTAATAGTCTATATTCTTTTTTAAAAAATTAAGATTCGTCTACCTATCAAATCCCTTTTCCTTCCCCAAGTTGTTTTAATTGAAGCTATACAGGTCTTTATTGTTATTGATGACTAAGTAATACACATGGCTGTCTGAAGATCCTGCACCACATAAGACCATTAAGTCTGGGATCTAAGTTTTACACTCTAAAATTACCTGACTATGCTCCTGATCTTTCTGCTTTATTTGGGCCAAGTGGAGTTTCTGGACCAGTTTCAAAGGCAGCCACCACAATAATCTAATCAGGTTACCAAAACTTGGATAATTGTTTCAAAGTTATCTCTGTTCAGATATGGGTGTGGTTGTTTTATAAAAGATGTTCTGTGCCACAGAGGCCACCTATGAATCTAGTACATGGTTAGGCAAACTAAGGCTTGGGGGCCTCTCTTTTAAATCAGAACCAGTGAAGGCGGTGAAGGTCCTGTGTGAGTGCCTGGAGG